TAGTACGAAGAAATCACTATTCAGGATTTATCGGAGTATTTAGAAATGAATTCTCGATGAGTAACTATGTGAGTGAAATTTCGAAGCAAATCAAAAAGAACGTACATTTGAAAACACTTTAGTCAAACATAGTGCCAAAACAAAAACGACAATAACAGGAAATAAGAGAGACGCGGTAATTACTGTCCCTCACTCATCACTCCCAATGTTTAATCAACGATTCTATTGACGCGGATACATATTCATAACGCATACACTTCTCGACAAGGACAGTCTTCTTAGCTTAAGTGGTACACTTCGTTCACGATGTAGATTAGCAATTATAACGCGTAACATAGTACTCTGTCGCCTCGTTTAATGCGTACTTTAGCAATGATCGAAGATGCGAATGCAACGCGTTCCACTATCCATCGTCTGACTAATTCGCTTTTTATTACCGGAATTCGAGTGACGAGTCGAATAAAGTTCGGTTTAAAGCTTGAAAAAGAATGAAAGACGATGTTAGAAATAGGAATTGAAGAATTTTTTCGCGGCAAATAAAGTGTTACGAGCTGTTTTCTCAGAAAGTAACGAACTTCACTTTTGCTCTAATTAAATGGTACAGAACGCTAATCTTTTAGCGCGCGATCCATTTGTTTGAGGCAACTTTTAGGGGGAAAAAGGATTGCTATTATGAACGAACTATTTTTGTTTATAAATTTATTAATGTATCGCCGTTCCTAAATTTACTTTTCTCCCTTAACCCTTTCGCGACGGCGGAGCTAGCCATCAGTACGCCACTAACGAACGGGTCGTCGTGCCATTAGTGCACACCATACACATTAAGAGTGTCTCGAGTTTTTTCAAATCTTAGAGGATTTCGTTGGAACAGCAGAGGACTTAAGGGTGTATCGGACAAAGGGAATGTCGTTGAGGCCTTGTTCTGTATTTTAAAATAAATCTTCACTTTGAGTTGTCGAGGCGCTAGCCAATGCGACGCGCTTAGTGGGTGCCGGATATAACCGGCGATAGCCAGTGTGAAGCATTTAGTGAATGCCGGATATA